TCATCCGGTAATGGCATACATTAAGACCAGTAAAACACCCAGCTCAAACACACGGTCACTTAGCCGGGAAAAATGGTGAGGGGTGTTACTTAAGATGGTGAGGGGGTGATACTTAAGATGGTGAGGGGGGTGAGTCACTTAAGGTGGTGAGGGGTGAGTCATTTAAGAGGTAAGAGGGTGAGTCACTTAAGGTGGGGGAGGTGTTACTTAAGATGGTGAGGGGGTGAGTCATTAAGAGGAGGGGTGAGTCACTTAAGGTGGGTGAGGGGTGTTACTTAAGATGTGCGAGGGGTGAGTCATTTAAGATGGTGAGGGGGGTGTTACTAAGATGGTGAGGGGAGTGAGTCACTTAAGATGGGTGGGAGAGGGGTGAGTCACTTAAGATGGTGAGGGGTGAGTCACTTAAGATGGTGAGGGGGTGTTACTTAAGATGGTGAGGGGTGAGTTACTTAAGGTGGTGAGGGGGTGTTACTTAAGATGGTGAGGGGGTGAGTCATTTAAGATGGTGAGGGGTGAGTCACTTAAGATGGTGAGGGGCGAGTCATTAGACGCCCCGAGCTTACAACATTTCACCTGACGATTAAACACCCTAACCTAACCTAACCTAACTTAAATCCCTCAATCAGTGTTAGGTTAAGTTAGGCTAGGTTAGGTTAGCGTTAAATTATGTAAGGTTAAGTTAGATTAAATTTGATTAGATAAGGGTTAAGTTAGGTTAGGTTAACTTTAGTGTAGTTAATCATCGAGTGAAATAAACTAGGAATGTCTAATCTTCAGGTGATCGCCATCTTTAAACCTCACACGACAATGCCTACACGAGTGAGGGGGGAGGGGAGGGAGGGGAGATGGGGGGGTGAGAAAGGGAGGGGGAGGGAGGGAGGGAGGGAGGGGGCGACCACATACTGCCTGGCCTGACGTGACTTGGTAAACACGAGGGTAAAAGTGTTGCTTATTGTGGCGTCTTGTTGTACGACCTGCCCTAAATTATATTGGATGACCTCTCTCTCCTCCTCCCCCTTCTTCTTCACCTCTTCCTCCTCCTCCACTACATCTTCATCCTTTTCTTTCTTTTTTTTAGCTTTTCCTCTTCCTCCTTATGTTTCTTCCTTCTCGTCATCTTTTCGTCCTCCTCCTCTTCCTCCTCCAACTCTATCCCCGCCATCTCCACTCTTCCTCCTTTCGTCTTCCTCCGTCATCTCTCTTATTCTTCCTCCTCCTCCTCTCTTCATTTTTTGTTTCCTTCCTCCTCCCCATCCTTTCTATCACCCCCCCTTCCTCATCTTGTTGTACGACATGTCTAAACTACAGTATATTGGTTGACCTCTCCTCCTCTTCCTCCACCTCTTCTTTCATCGCTAGTCTTCCTCCTCCTCCTCTTCCTCCTCCTCTTCTATCGTCTTTCTGTACCCTCTCTATTCCTCTTTCTTTCATCCCTTTCCCACCTTCTCTTCCCTCCCGCCTCCCCTACTCCCTCCTCCTCTTATCCTGCCTCCTCTCCCCCTCCCCCCCCACACCTCTCCTTCCTCTCTTCCTCCTCTCCTCCCCTCCCCCATCCACTCGACACCATAAAACTCAGCTCAACAATCTCCAGCTTTTTGTCACCGGAAATGTGATGGAGGTAAAATGCTGGGGTCGCTAATCGTGCGTCTGGCAGTGTGGCCCGATTGTCACCCTACTGCCACATCTCCCAGCCAGAGTATCACACTGGTGCCTCCTGGCCACAGTATCTTTTTGTCAAGTCTCCTGGCCACAGTGTTACCTTGGTATCATCGCTCCTGGCCACAGTGTTACCTTGGTACCATGGCCCCTGGCCTCAGTGTTACCTTGGTGTCATGCCTCCTGGCCAGGAAGAGGATGAGAGTGAGAGAATGAGAATTAGAGAGAGAATGAGAATTAGAGTGAGAGAATTAGAGTGAGAGATTGAGTGCGAGAATGAGAATTAGAGTAAGAGAATGAGAGTAGTTAAAGAAGAATGGACAATAACTTAAGAATATGAGAATACTAAGCTTAGGAATAATGATAATAACAACAATACTTTACAAATGGGAATAACAAAGATAACAACACTACCTAAAGGTGTCAATAACTTAAGAGTAATACTTTCTTATTGGTGGTAATATCTCGGGAGTAATAACTTTTAACGGATGAGAGTTCGGAATAATGTTAGCGTAAGACATGGGAATACTTGACGCTTTGGAACAATTGGAATGTTGCAGGGGCAGGAATAGGAATATCTTAGATGTATTAATGGCAATGTCTTAGTGTAGGAATGGCAATATATTGTGTGGGAATGGGAATACCTTGGTGTGGGAATGGGAATACCTTGGTGTGGGAATGGGAATACCTTAGTGGGGGAATGGGAATACCTTAATGTGGGAATGGGAATACCTTAGTGTGAGAATGGGAATACCTTAGTGTTGGAATGGGAATACCTTAGTGTGGGAATGGGAATACCTTAGTGTGGGAATGGGAATACCTTGGTGTGGGAATGGGAATACTTTAGTGTGGGAATGGGAATACCTTAGTGTGGGAATGGGAATACCTTAGTGTGGGAATGGGAATACCTTAGTGTGGGGTATCTTTAGTGTGGGAATGGGAATACCTTGTGGGAATGGAATACCTTGTGGGAATGGGGAATACCTTAGCGTGGAATGGGAATACTGTAATGGGAATGGGAATACCTTTAGTGTGGAAATGAATACTCTTGGTAGGAATGGGAATACCTTAGTGTGAACAAATACCTTAGTGTGGGAATGGGAATACCTTGGTGTGGAAACGAGAATACTTTTAGTGTGGAATGGGAATAATTTGGCAGTGTGGGAATGGGGAATAATTTTTAGCGTGGAATGGGAATACCTTAGTGTGGGAATGGGAATACCTTAGTGTGGGAATGGGAATACCTTGGTGTAGGAATGGGAATACCATAGTGTGGGAATGGGAATACCTTAGTGTGGGAATGGGAATACCTTAAATGTGTGTCAGAGAGAGAGATTATTTATGACGTCACCACCTCTCACTCCCCTTAGTTTATCTCCTCTCATCATTCTATTCCTCTCTCCTTTCTCACCCTTCCTCTCCTTCACCCACTCCCTACTCCTATTCGCTCATGCTTCCTTGTCCTCTCTCTCTCTCTCTCTCTCTCTCTATTTTTTCTCTCTGTTTGTCTTTTTCCTTCTCGCTCTATATCTGTGTTTCTCTCTCTCAACTCTCTCAATTCGAACGAATAAGTGCTCAAGGGAAGGAAGGGGGGGAGAGGGAAGGAGGGGAGAGAGGGAAGGAAGAGAGAGGAGGGGAGGGAAGGAAAATAGGAGGGGTGTAGAAGGCATGGAAGGAAGGAAGGGAAGTGAAGGGAGGTATAGGAGGAAACCAGATCGGTGGAGGAAGGTGGAGCGGAGGAGGTAAGAGGGGAAGGAGGAAGGAAGGAAGAAGGGGATCTAAGGGAGGAGGAGAGATGGAAGGGGGTAAGAAGGAGAGGGGAAGGGGGGGTATGGAGGAGAAGGAGAGGCAGGGAAGGGTGGAGATAAGAAGGAGTTGGAAGAATGGGGGACTAGGGAAGAGTAGTGGAAGGAAGAGGGGATAGAGGTAAGAAGGGGAGGGCAAGAGAAGGGAGGTGGGAAAGAAGGGAGGGAGTGAAGGGAGGTAAGGAGGTGGGGGAGAGAAGGACAAAAAGGGGGGAAGGGAGCAGGGGAGAAGGAGAATGAGCAGGGATGACGGGAGGGGGGAGGAGGTATAGGAGGGGGGGGGAAGAAGGACAAAGGAGGGGGAGGGGGAGAAGTGATGAAGATAGGGGAGGGGAAAGGGAACGAGGGGAGGGAGATAAGGAGGAAAGAGAAAGAGGGCGAAGAGACCAGAGGAGAGGGGAGGGAGGGGGGAGAAGAGGTGGAAGGGGAGAAGAAGGAGGGCTGAAGGAAGAGGGGAGGGGAGAAGGAGAGGAAGGGAGGAGGTGGGAGGGGGAGAAGAAGGAGGGCTGGAGGGGGGGACGGAGGGAGGGGAGAGGAGGAGGAGGGAGGGTAAAATCTGTGGCAGCTCAAAATTCATCATTCGCCATTTTCGCTGAGTTGTGATCGACAAATAACACTCAACAATCCTTTGCTCTTCACTTTATATCGTGATCACGTCTCTCAATAGAGCAGCACGTCGAGCCCTTAACAGCGGCCCTAACCCCTGGCAGCCCTGGCCCTCAACCGCCCTTACTGACGAGGGCTTCCAAGGGTCAGATTGTCTCCAGGCTGTGGGTGGCGGAATAGACCGGACTAGCACCCAAGCGGGAAACTTTATTAGCGCGGAATACACACAGACTTGACTCCCCTCCCCTCCCATCACCATCCCCCTCCTCCTCCTCCTCCTGAGCCAGAACTGGGACAGAAAAACATCGAGTACTCAATTTAAGGTCTTCTGACAACCTACCGGGTCTCTCCTATCACTGCTCTCTTCCTTGGCCGAGTCTCCAGTTATTAATAAATTCTTTCACAACATCCGTAATTTTTTTCTCTCTCTCTTTCGTTCTCTCACTTCTTCTCCAGGTCGTGCCATCTTCTTGTTTCACTGGTGTTCTTGTAGGTGGTTGGTATAGGTGGTGATTACTGTTGATTATGTATTAATTTAGGGTGAGGAGGCGGGTGCGGAGGGCCACAATGGGGAGAGATAGTCATTATTAGTGAGACAAGCATCCATTAGTGGCTGGGATTTGGCCAACCTTCCGTGTATTCTCCGCTAACCAATCAGAGTCCCCAGATTCTCTGCTCGGCCGCCCAGTGCTCAATTACTGATTTTTACTACAATTAAATCTAAAACTTACAAAGATATTACGTTAGTTTGATACTTGTATGTATCCTCCCGTAATCATACATGACACACGGCAAAGTTGAAATTGAGAAAAATACGAATTAACAACATGGTTACGTTTGACAACACTCGCGCATCTGCCACCCGTCGGGAGTCGCTATTATCCAACCGCGAATTATCCCAATACCACAGGCTGTCCTGCGCGCTGATTGGCCCGTGTCGCTTCGACCCGCTCTCTCATTGGTCAACACCACGGGGGGATTAGGTGTGTATGCATTGTTCGTGTAAATAGTGTTGAAATGATTAGGGGGTTCCCGGGTGGCGGTATAAACGAAATAAGCACATGAGCGGGCGGGCCAGTCACTGGACGTCACCCGTCGCTTGCGGAGGTGCGGCAGTGTAGTGTTGTTGTTGTTGTTGTTGTGGTGGTGTAGTGAGGCACCCCTCCTAGTGTACCCGCCAGCCGCCGCCGCCATGATGGAACGCTCTCTCAAGTCTGCCACGCCGCCGCCGTCACAGCCGCAGCTACCGCAGGAGCCGCAGCGCAGTATCTCTCCGCCGCCCTCCCTGCAGCAGATGGACACACAACTATCGCCGACGATGACGGGGCCGCCGCCGCCGTGCCGCGCCTCTCGTGTCTACACCATCGAGGACATCTTGGGGCGGCCGCAGTCGCAGGAGGTGTCGGTGCAGCAGGTCAACCCCTCGGATACCCATCCTGCAGGTGAGACCCGCACCCGCACCTTAATTTAGCAATCATTCTCTTCATGTGACAATTAACTTATTACTACAATGTTAATTTTAACTTATTATTATTTTGTTAAAGTATCATTTGTGTTAAAGTTCTATGTTAACCACCTGACCTCATTTGTTAGTTAACGACAGCGTGTGTTAACTATAACCAGTTTATTAATGTTAATCTTAACTACAGTATGGAAGGATTATGGGACAAAATCTCACTTAATCTCATCCAATTTAGTCTGATTAAGCTTAATCTGACCTAATTTGACCTAATTACCTAGGGTAACCTAACCTAATGTGACCTGACCTGACCTAATAATTACTCGGTCATTCTAATTTGACCTGGTCTGGTTTAACCCGACATTATCCTAATCTGGCTTCTAACATGACCAAAGTCTAGCATAAGAACACAAGAATGGAGGAAACTGCAGCGGGCCTATTGGCCCATACTGGGCAGTCCCATTTACACCCAACCCCTATTGCTCATATATCCATCCAACCAATGTTTGAAGCTATCCAGCGTATTCGAGTTAATGATGATATTTGGTAACTTATTCCAGTCATCCACTACTCTATTTCCAAACCAATGTTTACCTATTTCGCACCTAAATCTAAATTTGTCTAATTTAAAACCATTGTTACGAGTTCGCTCCTGGTTGGATAGTTTGAGTACCTTTGTGGTGTCCCCTTTGTTCAACTTTGACTTCCATTTATACACCTCGATCATGTCGCCCCTCACTCTACGTCTCTCGAGGGAGTGCAAATTAAGATGCTTTGACCTGTCTCTGTACTCTGTACTGTAACCTAACAGTAACTTAACTTGGTCTTGCTTAACCTAATATTTGCCTAATTGGGTTTAACTTAACCTAACCTGGTCTTATTTAACCTAGCATTAACCTAATTTATTCTTACTTAACCTAACATTAACTAACTCTAACATTAACCCAACCTGACATAACTTAATTTAACCTGGTCTAACTTAACCTATCCCGGTCTAACTTAATATAATTTGGTCTTAATAACCTAACATTAACCAGCTTCGGTTAACGGGATTTTGTCTCATTATTACCATGATGGCAAAGTTTTGTCCAGCTGATTTTGATGAAGCAGGCAAGTGAATAGTGCACACCCCACAAGCTGTCATCCTCACTGCTCTATGTATCATGGACACTGTCATATCCTGTCATGAATGCTACCATGGACACTGTCATATCCTGTCATGAATGCTACCATGGACACTGTCATATCCTGTCATGAATGCTACCATGGACACTGTCATATCCTGTCATGAATGCTACCATGGACACTGTCATATCCTGTCATGAATGCTACCATGGACACTGTCATATCCTGTCATGAATGCTACCATGGATACTGTCATATCTTGCCATGAACACTACCATAAACAGTACAGTACCATACACCCTGCCATAGACACTACCACACCGCCTCTACCATAACCATCTAGTTCTTTATGGTAGAATATAAATATTATCCCTGCACTGTGTCACATCCTCAGTGGGTTGGTGTACAGATCAATCTTCTTAAATCGTGTGTGTCTGTTTAATTCAACCAAATCCCTTCATCCAGGTGGTTAAAAGGCATCCATTAATTCATCCAAACTCATCCCCATCACTTCAGTTGGACAGTTCAAGGGGTCAAATTGGTACTATCTTTACTATTATTATGATTTCAGGAATTTGCGTCATACTGTTGCATACTTCAGACTCACCGATTCCCGATGTCTACTGTAATCGGAATTCTGGAAGGTTTTTTTCTCATGGGTGACATAGTGAGAGGGAGGAGGAGAGATGGGTTATTTGTAGAGGTGTGTGTGTGTGTGGGTGGGTGGGTGGGTGGGTGGGTGTGGGTGGGTGTGTGTGTGGGTGTCTCCTGGTTAATCTTTATCCATTGTATTCAGTCTATCCTTATCCGTACCTTTTATCCATTATTCTTACTCATCTGCCATGTGTTCTATTCTTTCCTCTTTTCCCGATACCCATTTCATTTGCTTATGCGTTATTCATATACGCATGCGTTGCCAATATGCGTCGTCTATTTACACACGCGATGTTAATATGCGTCATCCATGGGCTATACACATGCGTTGCCAATATGCGCCATCCATGCGCATGCGTTGCCAATATGCATCATCTATATGCGCACGCTTTGCCCATATGTGTCATCAATATACGCACGGCTTGCCCATATGCGTCATCCATATACACTTGCGTTGCCCATATGCGTCATCCTTTTACGCGTGCGTTGCCCATATGTGTCATCGGATTTTATTCTGTGCGTCATCTACAGGCTTTTTTCTCATGCCTTAGACTATGCGTTTGAGTAATGCGTTGATCGGCCTTCCATCCGTGCGTTCAGTTCCCTTGTTGACACTTGATAGCCCAGGCTAAAAGTGCTTTAATTAATGGATGGCTCACCAGCCTCTCTTTGTCATTGAATACTGGAGAGAGAGAGAGAGACTATTGTTAATTCTGCTGAGAGAAACATTTGAACATTAAGAGAGAGAGAATGGGAGAGAAGGAAAGAAAGAGAGACACTATTTGCTAGTTCTGCCCAGAGAAGCATTAGACATTAAAGAGAGAGAAAGAGAGAATATGATAGTCTATTTAAATTTCAGAGAGAGACAGACAGGTAGATAGAAAGATAAATAAATATTATTTTAGTGTTGGAAATGAGAGAGAGAGAGAGACATTTGGACAAGAGAGAGAGAACACAAAACACCTTTCCAGTGACTGTTTGGGCTGAGCTAAACTATTGAGATTTTTCATAATTTATCGAGAAAAAAATTAGTCAGTCCCATTTATCTGACGTAAGTTGAAGAGAATTGGTCGCCTCTTTTCCTGCGATTTTTTTTCTTTCGTTTAGTTGCGGTGAGAAAAAAATACATTTGTCATTTAACACTAATGAAAGAGGGAAATTTCCGTTCCAGCGGGGGAGAATTTCCGCTCAGGTAGGGAAGTTAGCGGTCAGATGGGGGGATTTTATCGTTCAAACAGGGAAATTATCGGACACACAAGGGATTCTATTGCTTTGTCAGGGAAATTAGCGGCCAGACTGAGAAATTATTGTTTTGTCTGGTAAATTCTGCTCTGACACGGAAATTTCTTATCCCTGACATGCTAATTTTGTGTTTAAACGGGGAAATTATCGATTGCGTATCGGAGATTCATCGTTCATATAGGGACATAATCTCTCATACGGGGGAAATATCCTCTCGGACAGGAGGATCATGGTACAGACAGATAAAATGCGCCCAGAAAATTGTATTTCCGTTCAGACAAGAAAAATAATGTTCATACAGGGAAATGTCTCCTTTACAGGGACACATTATCGACCACAAGAAAATTATCTATAAGATAAGGGAAAAATTATCGCTCAGATAGGGAAATTTTCCGACACAAGGGAAATAATATCGACCACACAGGGAAATTATTTCTCAGACGTGGTAAATAATATCGATCATAATTTCTCTCGATCAATGATTTGTGTGTACTAGGATACGAACGCACGGACTCTCGAAAACAATTACGTACGCACACCAGCCAACAAGTCGAGCAAATAGGGCCCGGCAGTGTCCGTATTAGCTCAGTGATGTTGGATAATTTTGGCATATCGGCTGTAGAAGGCACATCTGTTGCTTAATTAACTATCTATTATTGTTATTACTATACCTGTTGTTGTTGTTTATCATTAGTATTAGTTAACTCACTTTATCATCTTAATTAATTAACTTACCAGTAAACACTATATTAATGTTTAATATACAACGAGATAATCTATGCAGTAAATATTTTCTACTTCAAATTTGTTTTATAGAGAATATCTTCAACAGTTAAAGTATCGTCCTCAAAGGTTTAAAATATCATTAGGAAAGGGTTACGATATCGTCATCAAAGAATTAAGCTATCGTCATCAAAGGGTTAAATTATCGCCCTCAAAGGATTAAGCAATCGTCTTCTAGGGGTTAAACTATCGTACACAGACCACACAAACCATATATATATATATGTAATCCAGTTGCCTCTGACGATGTCTTGAATAAAGACGAAAGCTAAGGTGCTCCGTTGTTTCCCTTTCCCCGTGTGATTTTATCAAGATATACTGTATATATATATATATATATATATATATATATATATATATATATATATATATATATATATATATATATATATATATATATATATATATATATATATGTGTGTGTGTGTATGTATATGTATAAACCATAAAATCTCCAGAAATAATCTCGGGAAATAATCACCATAAAGAACTTCCAATAATTTCCAACTAATGTCATGTCTACCACAACAGGACCCAAACCTTCAACCTAAACAATAAAATCTTTAGAAATTATCTCTCAGAAATAATCTCCGTCGGGTGATGGTGGGGGAAGGGGGTGATTTGTGGGGGAGAGAGGGGGTGAAGGGCGAGGGTGACGTTGGGGTGGGTGAGGGGTGACGATGGGGGAGGAAGGGTAAGGGATGGGGGTTTCGGTGCGGGTAGGGGAGGGAGGCAATACGGGGGGTGGAGAGAGGGTGGTACTCCAACACATCCGTTCTACGCATTTTCTTCTCCAATTTCCATAGCCAACAAATCTCCTTCCTCAGCCATCTCCTCCCCCTCTCTCTCCTCATTTCCCAACTCATTATCGCCTTCATTATTACGTCATTCGCTGTAAATAACGATATAGCGAGACAATTAACGGATAAAATTGGCAGTAGAAGCGGCGCTGAACTGTCTCCTGGGTCTGTTTATATATACGCCGTGTGGGGATGCGTAATAGGAAGAGGGAGAGAGAGAATTACACGCCATTCTTTTTTAGGGAGGAGGGTGGGTTTGTATTGCATAAATGGGGATCTGTTTACCTATTTTGATAAACTTTTTGGTGTGTGTAATTGGGCAACATTTACTTATGTTGTTAATAATTTTCAGGGGTAAATAGGGATTTTTATTCTATAT